CATTTGAGGTATTTCTCCTTTTTGGCTTTTATGAGTAATGCTACTGTGAACATTTGTATATAACTTTTTGTTTGAACACAGTTCTTTCAGGTATATGCTTAGGAATAGAATTCTTGCGTCATATGGTAACTCAGTGTTTCACTTTTCAAGAAACAAGTTTTCAAAGCAGCTGTACCATTTTACGTTTCTACCAGCAATGTATGAGGGTTCCAATTTTACTACATCCTCACCAACACTTGTTATTATATGACTTTTTGATTCTAGCCATCGTAGTGGGTATAAAGTGGTATCTCATTATGGTTTTGATTTCCATTTCTCTGATGGGTAATAATGTTGAGTATCTCTTTATGTGCTTATTGGTCTTTTGTATATCTTCTTTAGAAGAATGTCTATTCAAATCCATTGTCCATTGAAAAAAATGTTTTTGGTCTTTTTTTCTTCCTTCCACAATCTATATACCTCTTATTTTCTTTCATTTATCTTTATCTTTATTTGTCTTTATCTTTTTATTATCTTTTTGTATTCTTGAGTTGTAAGAGTTTCTCTGGTTAGAGGTTCCTTATTAGATACATGATTTGCAAGTATTTTCTCACAGTCTGAAGGTTGTATTTTCACTTTCATGATGTTGTCTTTTGAAGCATAAAAAATTTTAATTTTGATTAAGTTCAGTTTTAAAATTTTGTTGTTGCTGTTGTTGTTTGTGCTTTAGGTGTCATGCCTAAGAAACCATTGTCTGATCCAAAGTTATGAAGATTTACTGCTATGTTCAAAAGTATAAAAAGAATTTTATACTTTTGGCTCTTACCCTTAGGTTTCTGATTCATTGTGAGTTAATTTTTGTGTATGGTGTGACGTAGGGGGTCCAGTCTTATTTTGCGGTTGTCCTAGAACCATTTGTTGAAAAGACTGTGCTTTCCCTAACGAATTGCCTTGGCACATACATCCTTGTAGGAATCACTTGACCATAAATGTAAGGGTTGATTTCTGGACTCATAATTCTATTTCATTAATCTGTATTTTTGTCCTTATGCCAATACCACGCCATCTTGATTACTGTAACAGCTTGGCATTTTGTGACATCAAATCTGGTGTTTGTCCAAGTGTTTCTGTGATTGTTGGAAAAATTATCTAAGTACAAAATAGCAGAAATGGCTAATAGGTGTTGTTCATGCAATGATAATAAGCCCCCATTGAGGCCATTTGCTGTCCTTTTCCTCCCTAGTGATGGAGTAAGCATTACAAAATCTTCTCTCTTCCTCCTTATTACATTAGAGGGGTGTGTGTGTGTGTGTGTGTGTGTGTGTGTGTTTGTGTGTGTGTGAGAGAGAGAGAGGGGGAGAGAGTCGGCTCTGACCTTTGCCATATATGCAAATTTTCTTTGTAATTTCAGTAATAGTCACACTTAGAGCCTCAGAGCAGGTCACTGGGTCCTGTTTGTCCTCCCAGGAGATGCTCGACATTGGTCAGAGTGCATTAACGGTGGTTTGTTGTGGAAGTCCTGTAATAGCCCTCATTGACATTGGACTGGCTGTCAGGGGAAGCATGGGTTTTGGAAGCTTTCATTAGCATTAATTGCCCGTAATGCACCATCATTTTTGACAGTAATAAGCTAAACAGGGGTGTTATTACTCCCAGCAGAAAGACTGCATTTCCTGGCATTAGAACATTTTTTGAGATGTATATGGCATGTGGTGCAAGCAGAGAAAGGAATAGCATGATCCAGTGTAAAGCAGGCTTAGCTGCATTTCAAGTAGAGAAATAAGTCCCTTTCCTATTGTAAAAATGAATCCTGCAGTGTTAGTTGGAAGGAAGAAGCAGCTAATCAACAGGGTTCCTACACTGAACTCTTTAAAGAGGGCTTTGGAAAAAGTTACGATTTTTATTTCTAAATTTGCTTTAAAAGAGTAGCATGAAAATGCTTTTCTTTTGAGTGTTTCCAGAGACCCATTTATAGTGAGATTTTAGGAGCAGAAGGATTTGTTTTAAACTGTTCCCTATTTAAGAACAGCCCTACGGGTGTTTATGTGCAACAAAGAAAGCTGTAACTTAGGAAGGCTTTTTAAATTAGGGCTGAGAGCAAACCAAGAATGATGCAAGTTCACTGCAGTTTGCCCTTTGCTCACTCCATGTGTCTGCATTGTTGGGGGATGCTCAGGATGTCTTTAGAACACACACGAAGCTGGATCCTGATTAGCGGGCTTTAGTGGCTAAGTTAGTGCTGAGAGTTTAGAGCCAGGATTCTAAGTGAAAACCTAAAAGCTGATAGCTTCCTTATCGCTATCATTAGGAGACACTGAAGACTTTACACAATTCTTTTTTTTTTTTTCTTTTGAGGCGGAGCCTTGCCCTATTGCCCAGGCTGGAGTGCAGTGGCGTGATCTTGGCTCACTGCAACCTCCGCCTTCCGGGTTCAAACTATTTTCCTGTCCCAGCCTCCCGAGTAGCTGGGACTACAGGCGTGCGTCACCACGTCTGGCTAATTTTTTTGTATTTTTAGTAGAGACAAGGTTTTGCCATGTCAGTCAGGCTGGTCTCGAACTCCTGACCTCAAATGATCCACCTCCCAAAGTGCTGGATTACAGGCATGAGCCATCACGCCCAGCCTAGTCTGTTCTTTTTAATTGCTCCATGGTAATTAATAATACGCATGTATCATTCTTTATTTAGCTAGTCTCCTGTTTATGGACATTTCAGTGGGATGATGATTCCAAGATCACATTTACAAATTAAATGAATGAGTTCTTAAGAGTGAGTTACAGAAATAACAAGGGAATTTTCTAGTTAACGTTGATGAAGATTGCAGAGTAGTTAACTATGAAGACAGATTATTTTTATAGCATAGAGTATTGCTAATCCTCCTATCTCTCCCAAAATTGGAGGGCTGCTAAGCCCATCAAGCCTCCTCCTTAGTCTTCTTGCTATGGAATGTTTCCTACTCCCCAGTCGGGGCCACCCATGGGCAGACTTGGGTCACAGTTCCTTCTCCTGTGCTTTCATAACACTTTGTACATACATTAAAGCAGCAACCTGGTTCATTGTCATTATGGTTTGTGTATGGAACAGGAAGGATTTCTTGCCATTTCTGTGTATTCCCTGCACATAGGTGCTCCACATACTACAGGGAAAGTGTTCTCAGCGGGTGTCAAATCAGACCTCTCTGGCCACTTCTTTGGCTGAGCCTTCCATTCCAGTTTGTCTTCCAGTGGAAATGTCAGTACTTGTCGGGTTGTGCTTTATGCAAAAAAGCTTGCTCTGGTTCTGATCCTTGTGTGAGTTGTAATGCTGTTAACTCAGCAGAGAGCCCAGAGAGCCAAAGTAGAGGCTCCAAGCTCCCTTCTTGGGGGTGTCTATTCAACCTGATGGGCCATCTTCCCTCCTCCACTGCCATAATTTCACCCAGTTGCCTAGACTCAATGACAGGCAATGATCCTAAACATAATTCTGCTAATAGGTGACTATGAATTCAAATGTAGGTGGTAATATTGTTACAGCTTCTGGTAATAAATCTTTACAGTTTTTTTAAGCAAAACAGAACACCTCTATTCAACATGATAATTGAGGCTGTTGTCATAAAATAGTTATTATAGAGGCAGGAAAGAAGGCTATTAGAAGGAATTACTTTCTTATTAAAGGAATCTTTATCTCTTTTTAATTTTTCTTCTTTGCCCTTGATTTGAGGTTGTCACACCTCAATATGGTATTTTAGAAAACCGCCGAAGCTATCCTTCAATTATTTGCCCATCCCTTTATCTCTATTCCTTGATCCTGACTTAGACTATAAACCAGTGGATTTGGCAAGGATTTCCTTAAGTGTTACATTCAAACCTATCAAATATTTGGAAGGCTTACAGATCTGTTTGCACATAAAAGCGCCTTGGGGTTGCATAATTTGCACATTCAAACTTGGGTTTTAATTCAGAAATTTAACATGTTTTCTGTCTCTTTTGGATGTTTACATTGATTTTAATCTAATTTTAAATTTTCTTATTTATTGACATTAGTCCCTCTTTGTGAAGATGTTTATATGGGACATACAGAATTCAAACACTCTAAGAGTCAACATGGATTGGTTTGTACTTATAACAAACTCCCAATCTCAGTGGCTTAAAACAACGAAGGTTTATTTTTTACCCATGCTAGATTCTTTAGGTGGTCAACTGGAGGCTCTGCTTCATGATATCTTTGCTCCAGGACCCTGGCTGAAGGATCAAGCATCTGGACATTGTGTCCATGTCAGAGGAAAAGAGAGAATCACGCATTGATTCTTAAAGTTTTCACTTCTGCCCACGTTTCATTGGCCACACTTGACTCCATGGGGGCAGGGAAGTAGAATTCTACCACATGCTCAGAAGGAGAATGAGAAGTACTTGGAGAACAGTACAGATAACTACCATGGCTGTCTAACAAGGAGCTGAAGTGCGTGGATTCTGAGTCAGAGTGCCTGAGCTCGACAGTGGCCTGATCACTTCCTCGCGGTCTGATCTTGAGCAGAGCAGCTTCATCTCTCTCATCTTTTATTTCCTTATCTGAAAAGCAATACCTTACAGAATTGTGAGGATTAAATGAGATAGTCTTTACAAAACCAGTGCCTTTCACATGGTAAGCACTCAATAAATCCTAGCTATCATTAGAACCGAATTCTTACTGATTCGAATGAAAGGTACTGCTTAAGGAATTTTTCCCCTTATTTATTTTAAAGGATACATGAAATGATTTACTTTTTTTTTTTCCTTTTTCTTCTTTTTTTCTTTTTCTTTTATTTATTTATTTATTTATTTATTTATTTATTTTTTGGTGTATACCGTCCATCCAAAGCCAGAAAAAGACATTTTAGGCCTCGGAATGAGAGAGGTTGGAAATATTACTGGGCTGGGTCAGTAATCTTTACTGGGCTGGGTCATGCCTTTCTCACCTTGAAGAATAGAAAACTTTATATCTGCATGTGAATTCCTGTACACCCACCAGTTGACCTGGCAACTGTCTTCTCTATTTTCATCTAGCTCAGAGTCAAGATCTCCACTGAAGTTGGCATCACAAATGTTGATCTTTCCACTGTGGATAAGGATCAGAGCATTGCACCCAAAACTACCCGGTAGGTGGGATGCCACCTAATCCCTCGGGGAGCTGAGGCTCAAGAGCTAAGAGGAGTATGCCTAGGCACTGAGCCCTCCAGGCATCATTTCTGTATCAGCAGCCATCCAGCTTGCACCCTAAATTAAAGAGTCTGTAGTTCCATTGGTCCTGCACCAGGGATTCTGCCAGGCATCTAAGTGGATTTGGAGGTTTTATATACCAGTGTTTAGTCCATGCACAAACTGTTTATTACCAGTCCGCAACAAGGTAAAGCGCTTACCTCAGGATGTTAGTCTGAGTCAGCTATGTCACTAAGCATATTATTTAGTTCAGATGACAATTTTTAAGATAATAAGACCTTCTCAGTGAAGGAAGCAAGGTATTAATTTACATTCTGGTGCGATCTCATCATCACAGTCCTGAATTTGCTTTTAGTGACCTAATGGCAAGTCTCTCTGGCCCATGATGGGTCTGAAATTAGCTGGAAGCCTCATAGGTGCTTAAAATTGAGATGGCAGATACCCAGCACTGGGGCTGCCATTTCCCCCTCCCAAGTCCATGGAGGCAGTACTAAGAAGTCATAGAGCATTTGCTCCCACCAAACTCAGACACAGCCTCAGAATCTTTTTTTTTAAACATAATCTTCTAAGTAGACACTAACAATTGATCAGAGTTGGGCCAGAATGCTGTACGAAGCCTGCTCATCAGCCCTCCCCCAGATCCTTACTGGCGTAGGGGGGATCCAGATCTCTGGGTATAGTCCAGACCCCAACTTTACTCAACTAGGGTAGCTATAGAGGCCAGAAGACAATAGGGTGAACCCTTAAGGCTCTTTGAAAATGGGGTGTTAGCCAGAGGCTAGAAGTCAAGCAGCTGTTCCTTTTAAATCACGTAGAGTTGGCCTTTGTGTCTCTGACTTGGCTATTTTTGTAGTGATATTGGAGATAAGAGCACTGTTTGAGAATCCACTGAAGTAATGTCTGTGCGAGCACTTTGCTGTTTAATTCTCTGCATAGATGAAGAGTTGGTCTTACTTACAAGTAAATATAAAATATGAGTATAAAATAAAGCCAGGTCTGAGCTCTATAACCATTTGGCTGGTCTATCCCCCGGCCATCTTACCCTAAAATCCCAGGAGATAGCTGTGAAAAGAAGTTTTCCTCATCAAGTCTGCCTGTTGGGAAAATGACTTTTTAAAACCCAGTTTCAGGGCAGAAAAGTAAATTGAAACAGTGTCCAGGAAAAAAATTTGGCATTAAAAAAAGGCAAAGCCGAAAGTACCCTTCTTTCCTTTGTGTCTCCTACCTGTCTTGTCTCTCTACCTTGCTCACGTGTGCTGCTGGCATCAATCCTGTGATAATTTCTCCTTGTGGTTCTGCCAGCTCGGCTCTCCTGTGTGCCTGCAGAGGCCACACGTGAGCTCCGCTGGTGCCTGACTTTGGTGGAGTTGAGAGCCTTAGGTCCTTGAATTGAAAGCTCAGAGGTACAAGCATCTGCACACAGCATTTCCCCAGATCCTGTTGGAAGTTTATTCTGCACTTTTCTCAGTCCAGGCTTTATCAGTCCAATTTGCCCCCAGGCTGCAGACAGTTCTCCACATCTGTCTGTCCACAACAGAAGTGTTACTATGGGAGAGGGAGGATTAGGCAATGAAGTGAAGTATGTATTTTCCGCCTGTTCTCAGAGATATACTGATCCTCTCTGAAGACTGACTTTATATGCCTCTTTCAGGGTGACGTACCCAGCCAAAGCCAAGGGCACATTCATCGCAGACAGCCACCAGAACTTTGCCTTGTTCTTCCAGCTGGTAGATGTGAACACTGGTGCTGAACTCACTCCTCACCAGGTCAGGAAGACGTCTAGACAGTTCTCTTAACCTGAAATGTAAATGGATACTAGCGTTTACAATGTGGTCTGTAACATGGACTAGAGAGAATTCCACGTTCCTGCTTTCAGATCTTGACCGAACCCTGACAGTCCATCAGGTTCTCCCACGTGACACTCTCACCCTTTTACTGGTTGTAATCCTTCACCTGGGATACACGCTTCTTTCTAAAAAATTAGCTGGTATTGAGGAGAGGTACTTAAGCAGATTTGCACTTAATTAAGGTCCTTCCTTCCTCCCTCCCTCCCTCAGACAGAGTCTCGCTCTGTCACCCAGGATGGAGTGCAGTGGTGTGATCTCAGCTCACTGCAACCTCAGCCTCCTGAGTAGCTGGGACTACAGGCATGCATTACTATGCCCAACTAATTTTTGTATTTTTAGCAGAGACAGGGTTTCACCATGTTGGCCAGGCTGTTCTCCATCTCCTGACCTCAGGTGATCCGCCTGCCTCAGCCTCCCAAAGTGGTGGGATTATAAGCCTGAGCTACAGCATCCATCCTGAGGCTTTTTCTTTCTGATTTAAAAAAGGGAATATACTGGCCAGGCATGGTGGCTCACGCCTGTAATCCCAACACTTTGGAGGCTGAGGTGGGAGGATCACTTGTGTCCAGGAGTTGGAGACCAGTTTGGGCAATATGGTGAGACCTCATATGTATGTATGTATGTATGTATATAGGTATGTATGTATAAATAAATAAGGGAATATACTGAAATAATTTCGAAAGAAGACCCAAAGCTTTTTTTTTATTCTGGCCAAAGCAGATTTTGTATTTGTGGGACTCTGAAGAATAGCCCTTTTAACTTGTGCCTACTTTGTGTTATGAAAGCAATAGGCTTTTTTTTTTCATAGAGTAATGAAAATTATTATTTAAAAGATTTTCGAACCATACACTCTTTCCCCCGAGAACCTAATATGGCCCCATGTCCAATCAGACATCCCCACTCCCACACTACCTATCATCCCCCTTGATGGAGAGTAACCTGCCTTTAGTGTTATGTGAAGGAAGGTTCAGATAAATACTTTGAATGCTGAAAGACAAAAATGCGGTACCTATTTTGGTATGGGGTACCCTGTACCGATGCTTTAGCAAGGACCAGCAGAGTTGTTGCCTTGAGGCAGCTTCAGGGCAGACCTCAGAGGCAACTGGATTTACTTGGGAACCTTCTTGCTTTCTGTTTCTTGCAGCTGCAGCTGTTGCACTTGTGCCCCAGGAGCACGTTCCTCTATTGCCACAGTCCCGGGAGTCCTCTGCTCCTCTCTCCTCCCTACTCCCAAACTCCAGACAGCTTGATTAGGGCCCTTAGCCAAACCTAACTGACCTTTGAGTACTTTGGCCCCTTACCATTTCCCAGCTTCTTACCAGAATGACATTTGCCGGCCAAATAGCACAAGGAAAGGAAGAGTAGTACAAAGAGAAGAAATTAGAAGACTAAATGGTAGGATCAGATTAGAGCAGGGAGAATTAGTGAGGAAGTGTAACTTTCACTGAATACTTGTGTCATCGAAAATTCTGTTGTAGAATCATGGCTTAGAGACCTTCCAGGTGGAGGTGGCGTTTTGGGGATGAACCTGAAGGAGATCTGGCGTCTGGACTCCCCATTCCATTCCTGGCCAAGACTAATTGCTATAGTTGGGATGCTTCATGTCTCTGGGCCCCTTTCCCTAAATGCTTTGGTGGTGTTTCTTTGTTGTTCAGGTATAGATTAACAAATGAGATGTGTATTTTCTGTAGATGCAGTGCTGGCTCTGTCACCATGCCAACTCATTTAATGCTTGTGCCTTATGATCTGTAAATTGGATCTGTAAACCTACCTGCCTTGTTGAATTCTTTATTTTGAAACACCTGAAAGAAAAGCTCTGGGTGGTTATCAAGTTTTGGTCCAGTTCTAATGTGCAGATACCTTTTTTTCTTGTGCCATTAGGGGAGATAAAATGATTAGACTCATTACCATCGTATTGCTATTAACCACTATTTGTTGACTAGCTAGCATAAAGCATTCCCTGCACTAATGCTCAGCATACAGTATTGCAAATCTTCACACAGATATGCTACATCTGGAAGTTAATTTCTGTGCTGTAAAGTTGAAGAAATCAAAGCACAAGGAGGTTAAGTAACTTGCTCAGCTAGTAAGTAGTGGAAGCAAACCTGTCTGTCTTCCAAGCTGAGGCGCTCTCCATGAAACTGGGTTGCCCTGCTTGATTAGGACTCTGCCTTACTATCCACACCCAAGCCTCCTCACTAAATCTTTAGCTGGAGGCACTAGGAAATTGAAAATGGACCTCTTACAGTTCCACCTCATTTCCCTTCTTTTCACCCTCTGGTGAAGCAGTTAATTGGGCAGCAAAGTGACCAAAAGGCTGGCGGGAAAAAGAAATTGCAGCGATAGCAAAGGGCTTAAATCATCCGCAAACTGGGCACTCAGCCTCCGACTAGTCGAGAATTGACTGGACCCGTAAGTTAAATTTACTTCCTTGTACCAGCAAAAAGTCATCTCTGAGCTAGGAACTAGGGTGGCATGGCCACTCCTTCTACTCTCTGGGGCAGGTCTGGCAGATCTGAGAGCTCTCACTGTGACAGAGAGCTAACTGTCTGCTGCCCGGTGGATTCAATGTTAGGCCCAGGGAGAATTTTGAAATTTTCTGATGAAAGGTTGGATTATTCTTCCATCTAGACATTCGTCCGACTCCATAACCAGAAGACTGGCCAGGAAGTGGTGTTTGTTGCCGAGCCAGACAACAAGAACGTGTACAAGTTTGAACTGGATACCTCTGAAAGAAAGATCGAATTTGACTCTGCCTCTGGCACCTACACTCTCTACTTAATCATTGGAGATGCTACTTTGAAGAACCCAATCCTCTGGAATGTGGTATGTGCCTGAATGTACCCCGACTCAGGTGACAGTGGCTGTGCCCCAGGCACTGGTGGCTCCTTTTCAGGGGCGTGGGGCTCTTCGCCTTCGCCTTGCCTGTGCCTCCTATAGTGTGATAAAGAAGCTTGGGAGGTGAGGCACTGTGTGCGGGCTCCATAAATAGTCCTGGGGTCATGCATGTGGCTTGGCAACATGGTACGTGCTTAATAAATATTAAGTGAATGAAGGAAGTATAAACTTTTGTGAGTGCTAGTATCTGTGAATTTCTCTAAACGTTATACAGAAAGGCCGTGTTCATATTATAGCAAGGCAGTATGGGGGTTACATAGATGTGAAAGTTACGATCTTTGAGATATGGCATAGCTCATAGAGAGATGAGATCTGAATTCTGATAACAATTTTAACTAATAACCAACTAACTGATTAACTAATAACCATGTGTAGCATGTTGTCGTTTACATAGTGCCTCCCTTCATGCCTCACTTTGGATTGGTGTGATGAGAGTAAATGTCGTGCAAGACAGGGCATTTGAGCAAGGGGTTGAAGAATGGCAAGAGTTTATCAGATCTGGGGCTGTGAGGTGATCATTGAGGAAGAGCCTGCAGAAAGCTCAAGGCGCTTTCAGTGCGATGGGAGCGGTTGTGTTTTGCCAGAGCACCTGACTCCTGTCAAAAGCGGGAGGTGATGAGCTTGGAAAGGTGGCAGAGGCCAAATTGCAGGCTTTGAATGGTTGTTGACTCACTTTGCAAGACAAAGGGGCAGCTGCCTTTTCTCGTTTTCTCGTTTTCTGGTATGGTATTCAAGACTTCTTTTCTTCTCCTGGACTTCAGGCTGTTTTTGCACCAGAGCACATACTCATTTCTTTCTCTCTTTTTCAAATGTGACTAAATCACACTTCCCAGGGACACCAAGCAGTTTCTGATTGCAACTGTAACAGCCTGTGTACCAGCTGGGATTTTTGTATTAAGCAGCTCTATGGGGCTACTATACCAGCAGAAAATTAGAAGTCTTGCTCTAAAAAGCATTTTCAACAAATACTTGTTTTGTTCTTGAAGTTTTTACTGCCTCAATTTGTCAGCTCATGGATCAGAAGTGATTGGGACTGCCTGGACCTTTTTTCTGTTATGGTCTTAGACGTGAGTCAGAGAATATTATCTCTTGAGTTTCACTCACTTCTCTGCCCCTGTGCTTTTAAAGACTGTCCTTATGTTTCTAGGCTGATGTGGTCATCAAGTTCCCTGAGGAAGAAGCTCCCTCGACTGTCTTGTCCCAGAACCTTTTCACTCCAAAACAGGAAATTCAGGTATATCCCAAGGGGTTATCCGCTAAACATGGGGGAGAAGAGGGCAGCAAAGCCCTGGACTGTGTCTCTGCTCCCTTTAACTTGTTTTATGATATTTGATAGTTTGATCCTCACACCCTGTGGATTAGGCAGGGTACATGGCAGCCCTATCTTTGAACTGAGCAAACAGGTTTAAAGAGTCCAGTGACTAACCCCCAGAAAGCAGAGAGTGGAAGATGAAATCAGAACCTGAGTCTGGTTTTCCTGACATCCAGCAGGTTCAACCCTCGGACCACAGCTTGTTAGCTATGAGCGCAGATGGTTTTAGCGTTTATCCTCCCTACTCCTGCGTAAATCAGGGCTGATGGGGCGACAGGTGGGAAAACTCACCTGGGAGAACAGGGCTCTACTTTCTTAGGCAAGTCCTTGGATAAGCAAGCCTGGTCCTGCCCTGCACACAGGACTGTTTTGAGAATCAAAGTTGATAACAGATGAGTAAAGAAAGGCTTTCAAATGTTTCTAAAGCCCTTTACAAAATAAACACAATAATTTTATTTGGGTACTGGTTAAGGAAACTGAGGTGGATCCACTCAGTGGACTATTTTGCAATCTTGAGAAATGATTGTACTTGGAAACCTACATACAAATTAATGTTGAAGTGTCAAAAACAGACTACCTGTTGTCATTCCACTTTAAAAAAAGCAAGTGCCCAAAGGGTAGAGTAGTAGGATTGTTTATAAAACTCCTCTTCATATTGGTACAGCATTATTTAAGAACGTAAAATGCAGCTAACCGATAGGCGTGATTGTGATGATGATGAAGGGTGCCGGCTGAAGTAGGTGGCAACAGCTGCTATAATGTTAGAAATCCTTTAATGGCAGCGGCAGCAAAGAAGAGCAGAGGTGAAATTTTAGGAACAGGAGGCTCAAGTGGGGCTGCCTCATCATGGAGCTGGAGTGGCTGGGCATTGGCAAGCAGAAAAGGCAGGCACAAGTTGACACATTGTAGGAAAAATCTTTTTTAAAAAGTTCTATTTGCATAATGAGTTACAGCTTACAAAGCATAATCAAATGCACTATTTCATTTGGTCTTTAGAGTATCTTTACAAGCCTAGCAGGGTGGTCATGACCCTCCCCACCCCCAGTTTTCCAGCTGGAAACTGAGGTGAAGAGTGGGACAGCGACTTCCCTCCTGGTCACACAGCCATACATATCAGTTTGGGCCTAAACAGAGGTCTCCAGATTCCCACACCATTTCTGCTTCTGCTAGGTCACACTATCTAGGTGAGCGTTGTAAAGAGAATTCATGTAGAATTGCTCAGGGAAAAAAAAAATAAAACCAAGAAATATCATCAGAATGCTTGTCCAGCCTTCTGGTTTAACTCTGGAAATCAGAGTTGGACCAGGCATGGTGGCTCACACCTGTAATCCCACTTTGCAGGGCCAAGGAGGGAGGATCACTTGAGGTCAGGAGTTCAAGACCTAGTGAGACTCTGTCTCTACAGAGAATTTAAAAATTAAGCTGGGTGTGGTGGCGCATACCTGTAGTCCCAACTACTCAGGAGGCTAAGGCGGGAGAATCTTTTGAGCCCAGGAGTTTGAGGTTACAGCGAGCTATGATGGTGCTACTACACTTCAGCCTGGGTGACAGAGTGAGGTCCTGTCTCTTTTAAAAAAAAAAAAAGAAGAAATGAGAGCGGGAAATTTGTTTAGGGCTTCCTTACAGCCATGGCTCAGGGAGAGAGGGATGAATTATGGTTGGAAAGATTTGTAGTGAGGCTCTGTTACCTTTTAAAAAGAGATGGTGTTACCACCATTAGCCAATTAAGTGGGGCAGCAGCATATGCCAGGGCCACCCTAGGAACCCAGAAACGTTGCGAGTCCAGAGTCCTGCCTCAGTCATGTCACTCAAGCCATCTATATACCTGGGCACCCTCTTTGGCACTAGCCAGATGCCACGTGATGGCTTGCATTCTCTGGCCTCTAAATGGCAGTGAGTCTTTGAGGGGAATAAAGGGTTGGCCAAGCAGTGAGCTGGGGTTGATGTATGTAGTCTCTGTGGAAGGGAGACCTCTGGGATCAAGACAGCATTGAGAAGAGGCAAAAGGCCACGCGGCCACTTGCTGCCAAGTATGCCATAGCCTCTGGGTGGCATATCCTCTTCATGACTGACATTGATGCTTTGGTCCCTGGTATACATGGCTGCCCCAGCTGGGAAGGGCACATTCTTAAATCTTCTCGGTTTGTCTTTCGGCAGCACCTGTTCCGCGAGCCTGAGAAGAGGCCCCCCACCGTGGTGTCCAATACATTCACTGCCCTGATCCTCTCGCCGTTGCTTCTGCTCTTCGCTCTGGTGAGTGGCCGTAATTAGCGTGGGCAACATGCGTCTGGCGCCAGACCCAGCAGATGCATTCCTTCCAAAGGAGGCTGTGTTGTTTGGCCTCAGCAAAGCTCCAGAGGGGTCCAGCAGCTGTGACCTGAACTGATGCTTAAGACATTTTAGAGTGACCAAAAGTTCCCACTGTGGAGGAGTGGCCAAATAAACTGCCCCATTAACAAATGGGCATGAGAAAGTACTTAACAGCCACTAGGAATGACAAAAGTGGATGGACTGTGATGCTATAGGAGAGTTCAGATGAGATCTAGTGTGAACAGAGTGAGACCTGATGCTGGTAGCTATAAAAAACAACACAAAGGTTATGCATTTCAGCACTGCTTGGGGCAGAAAACCAGAAACAACCTAAAGTCCATACGATGGAATAATATGCAGCTTTTCAAAGAATGGATAGATTTATATGCCAGTAGGACAAGATTGCCAAGATGTGTTACTGAGTGAAAAAGGCAAGGGGTAGGGTAGTGTGTTTAGTATGATCCTCTGTAAAGTTTTAAAAGGTGGCCGGGTGTGGTGGCTCATGCCTGTAATCCCAGCACTTTGGGAGGCCAAGGTGGGAGGCTTGCTTGAGCTCAGGTGTTTGAGTTCAGCATGGGCAACATAGCAAGACCCTATCTCTACTAAAATTAGAAAATTAGAAAGAAAAAAAATTAATGGTGACGTATGCCTGTAGTCTCGGCTACTTGAGGGGCTGAGGTGGGAAGATCACATGAACCTGGGAAGTTGAGGCTGCAGTGAGCCCTGCATTCTAACCTGGGTGACAGAGTGAGACCCTGTCAAAAAAAATAAATAAGTTTTAAAAGACGACATGTGTTAGTGTTGGTCATCTCTGAGGAGAGGACATTCTGGAGAATGTAGAGGAAGTAACTTTTACCTTTTCTCCTTTTCAGTACCATTTGAATTTTTTTTTTTTTAAAGCCAATTGTGTTTCTTTCTTTTTTCTAATTATAAACAAACATAAATGCATATCCTCAAAGCTCAGAGAATTTTGAGAAAACACTCATTAGATCTTACTTTTGGAAAGTTGCCTATGTTCCTAATTAATTTGTTGCTTTTAATAAAAGAATTACTGTTTAAATCTAGATAAATCTAGAAGCCTTGCTACAGATTTTCAGAAACCAGACCTAGGGTATGAGCACCTGTTCTTATATTTGAGTGATGAGAATTTCAAAAGACATGGAACCAACAGCAAAAGCATGAATGCCACCAGCTGCCGGCGGGTTTATCTTACCAATTCTTAGAGAACTTAATGGGGGTGTCAGTTACGTTATAAATGCAGTTTCTGACCTTTCAGCTTCATGATCTCACGTGTTTTAAAACAGTAGGGTTTGCCATCATTAAAAATGATGTTCAGGTTTGAGTTACATGAGCCCATTTGAGAGCAGGTGCTGAATGCCTTTCTAAAGAAAAAAGGAAACAAGTTTTCCCGAGGGCTTATAATAGGGTGGTTGTCACTTGGAAGAATTCCCTGTCTTTCTAGGATGCATGAACATTGAAGCCTTGGGGCTGTTGATGGGATTAGCATTGGCGTGGTTTGTGTTGCCTCCCTTTTAAGTTCTAATGCCTTTTAAATTTATTTCTCCCCATCATTCAGTGGATCCGGATTGGTGCCAATGTCTCCAACTTCACTTTCGCTCCTAGCACGATTATATTTCACCTGGGACATGCTGGTAAGTGCCCCAGACTGCTAATTCCATTTAACCTCCTCTGACATTTAGCCTGCCCACACAAAAGCCCTGTTAAGTAGACCCACAACCTATTAACTATAATGACTTAATAGCATAACATTTCCCTTTTCCTCCTGGCCTTTTAGGACAGTTAATATGATGATAAACCTGTTTGGTCCATCACTTAGAACAGCTGTCATTATATTGGGCTTCGTTGTACTGCGCCACTGTTGGCAGACCATTTACCCTCAGTTAATAACCCTGTTTATTTCCAGAGATTACTCACTTATCGTATCTTTACATTGAGCAATCTTCCTGGATGAAGAGCATTAATGCAGTTTCCAAAGGTTATCTTTCCCCACCCTATCGATCTTCACATTTGCTGGCGGCTCTGTCTGTGCAGTAATAGAAAACAGTCCTTTCCACAGTCAGATATGCTGTCCTGCATCGTTCTCTGGAGACCTGAGGACTTCAACAGCCTAAACATAACGAGATAGTAAATTCACAAATCACTTAAGAGGCTTTTGATTCTATTGGATCGGGGTGCCTTGCATTTCACTGTGACTTTAATATTTTCTGTTCTTTTTTTTTTTTTTCTGAGACAAGGTCTTACTCTGTCACCTAGGCTGGAGTGCAGTGGTGCACTCACCACTCACTGGAGCCTCGACCTCCCAGACTCAGGTCATCCTCCCACCTCAGCCTCCAGAGTAGCTGGGACTGCAGGCGTGTGCCACCACATTTGGCTAATATTTGTATTTTTTGTAGAGATGGGGTCTTGCTGTGTTCAGAGCTGGTCATGAACTCCTTGGCTCAAGCAGTCTTCCTGCCTTTGGCCTCCCAGAGTGCTAGGATTATGGGTGTGAGCCACCACCACGCCTGGCCTGACCTTAATATTTTTAAAATTATTTGCCTCTTTCAGGAGTCACTATCTGTATGCCCATAGTAAACAGATTCTGTAGGGGTGTGTAGATAAGTCCCTTGAAATTGTAGGCAAATGTTTGTATTTTTCTGGGGAAAGAGAGAGTTGTGACTTTGATCAGATTATTATGGTGCAGTGGTCTGTGACCTCAGAAATGGTTGGGAACCCTGCTGTAGTTCATCCGTCATCTGTCTGGGCAAAACTGACAGGATGACCTTTCTCTCTGGCTCAGTTCCTGGATATGAATGATAGCCCTCTGGGGTCAGACCGAGAAGAAAACCTGAATATAAATTTGTTGAGAGCCGTGGCTTTTCTAGCCGGTGTGCTTTTTGTGCATGTTTTCTCATTTGATTCTCATCATAGCCCTGATGAGGGTGACTGGGGCAGGAATTACGATCCCTTTTGACAAGTTGGGAGAATTTGGGCTCAGAGAAGTTAAGCGGCTGGTAAGGACAGGGCCTGGACCAGACCTCAGGGCTCTCTGTTCCCAGCTCTGAGCCCTTTTCACTCAGCCTTCTTCCTGAGACATCCTTGCTTCCTTCCTGGTCACAGTGGCAAATTATACTTACAGGTTTTTTGGGGGTTTTTTTTCCTCCATAAAAAAGGAAATTATTCAGTTATTTATATCCTGGTTTTTTAAATTTATTTTTTATTTTTTATTTTTGAAATGGAGTCTTGCTCTGTCTCTCCCAGGCTGTAGTGCAATGGTGCGATCTTGGCTCACTGCAGCCTCTGCCTCCGCCTCCCGGGTTCAGGCAATTCTCCCACCTCAGCCTCCCAAGTATCTGGGATTATAGGCGTGCACCACCACACCTGGCTAATTTTGTATTTTTAGTAGAGACGGGGTTTCACCATGTTGGTCAGGCTGGTCTCGAATGCCTGACCTCAGGTGTTTCTCCCGCCTCGGCCTCCCAAAGTTCTAGGATTACAGGTATGACTCCCACACCCGGCCTGTTTATATCCTGTGTATTTTTGTTAAGAATTTGAAAAATGAAATGAATCCTAAATGTAACATGACAGAAACAAAAGCAGAGAAATAGGTATAAGCAGGAACATGGCACAGGTCACTGAAGTCCAGTTGTTAACCCTGTTTTTTTGTTTTTTGTTTTTTGTTTTTTTTGAGATGAGGTATCACTCTGTCACCCAGGCTGAAGTACAGTGGTGTGATCAAGCTCACTGCATCCTCGACTTCCCAGGCTCAAGCAATCTTCCTACCTCAGCCTCCTAAGTAGCTGGGACTATAGACATGGGCCATTATGCCTGACTAATTTTTTGAATTTTAGTAGACATGAGGTCTCACTGTTTGCCCAGGATGGTCTTGAACTTCTGAGCTCAAGCAGTCCTCCTGCCTCAGCCTCCCAAAATGTTGGGATTACAGGTGTGAGCCATTGTGCCTGCCACCCTGGATTTCTTGGTGGCCACAGCTGAGAGGCTAGTATATTGAGTTAGCTACTTTTTGGCATCCGAGCAAAGGAATGAAACAAAGGAATGAAAAATGTGTAGGACTACAGACCTTTTCATGATCCAGCAGTTGCTGCCCCTAACTTTCCTCAACCCTGGGGCAGCATTATGTTTCATTTAATTGGATGTCATGACACCTCTTCTTGCAGCTATGCTGGGGCTCATGTATGTGTACTGGACTCAGCTCAACATGTTCCAGACCTTGAAGTACCTGGCCATCTTGGGCAGTGTGACGTTTCTGGCTGGCAATCGGATGCTGGCCCAGCAGGCAGTCAAGAGGTAAGGCTGGACATGGGCCAGGGATCTAGAGTAGGGTTAGAAATATTCAGTTCTACCAGCCTAGCTCTTTGAAGGGTAGGTGGCAAAATGATTTGTGTTCTTAGGGGCAAGTCTGGCACCTTAACCTAGCCCAATACAGAAGCCATAAGCACTTTGAAGTCAAAAAAGGGGCCTTAGTGGTCAGCTTTGAATGTATTACAACCATAGTAATTTATGCCCCAATACAATAGAATGAGGGAGGAAAATTACTGCTTTATGAAGACGAAAGTGCATTCATAGATGTGGCAGAAGATTAATTCGTTAGCTGTGTAAAAATTCTCTGCTGCCACAGAGAATCCTGCCCTGCCCTTCCCACCCTCAACATGTCCCAGAGAGTTGCTCCTCTGTAACCCTTACAGCTCCAGGAGCTTGTCCCAGAAGCACGAGGTCTGTGTTATTTCCCACAGAAGCTGAGGCAGGTTTTGCAGAGGCTCCCGGCAAGGAGTATCTCCTCAGTAGCCTCCGCCTCCCCAGGACCCAGACAACCTTAGAGTCACACGGGTGGTCAGACAGACCTTGACGTGAGCAGCTTGCTGGCAGCTTGACTTGCTAAACAGAATTGGAGGCAAATTTAAATGTCACAAAGGTGTTTCTCATTGATTTGACTTTATTAGAACCTGAGTGATTTCAGCCACGCAAAGGCCAATAAGAAAAGATCAGAATTGCTTTCACCTCTGGAAATCGTTTTCAGATGTGCCGCTTTCTTGTATCCAGGACGTTTGTTGGAAGAATGTAACTCGATAGTGTACCCTCAACGTGGCTGCCAGTTAGGGTGCTGGGATCAGAGAGAGGCTTTTTCAGGGAGACCATCAGTGGGTGGGAGAAGGTGTCTCATCTCCGCCCGAGTCTCCATTGTGAACTTTCTGAGCATTTCACCATGGAGACTCGGCACAGACGTGTTCCTTGGCTTTCCTGTAGGAATCCAGGGCCCACCAGAGCTTCCCTTAGCACCAGCAGTGGCAGTTGGTTCATTTTTTCCACCTTCCAGTAGCCTTTTCCTGGTGGCTCTGCATTGTACCTAAGAAAGAGCCAGGACTCAGTTGTTTTTGCAAAGCAGAACGCTGTTCCCGTGCAGCACCTGCCTGGGCCCCCAGAGAGCCAAAAGACTGTGCTCTGCTAAGTTCTCTCTTTTCTGGAAGTCGCCCACTCAAGAAGAATGAAATCTGCCGGGCACGGTGGCTTATGCCTGCAATCCCAGCACTTTGGGAGGCTAAGGCCGGAGGATCGCTTGAGCTCAGGAGTTCGAGACCAGCCTGGGCAACACAGTGAGACCTCGTCTCTAAAAAAAATTGTGAAAATAAAAAATAAGAACAAAATCAAGGTGAGAATTGAGTAGAAACCATTTGGTTTACATCCTGCTTAGCAGGAGTTCCTAATCTGGAATCCTAAAGTTGTATGCATTTTCTGGGGAGAGAGACTATGGTTTTTATCAGAATCCCAGAAGGATCAGTAACTCCTCCCTCTCCCCTACTCATGTATTCCGTTCAGAAGCTTAAAGCCCACTCTTTCCTTGTCAGTCCTAGAATGAACTCTACCCTGGAAAAATCGGTGACCCTAATGGAAGCTCTGGTTGGGTGTTTGTCATTTCTTTCCTCAGCTGATTTCTCCCCTCGCTGTCCTTTCTTGATTCTCAAACCCTCTTTCCTTTGGCAGGATCGCTGCAGAGCAAAGCAGTAGATTGGCAAAATATAGGACACTACGGTAAAGATGAAGGGTGGACTCATCCCAGAAGCAGGGTCCCTTCCCCGTCTTGCCCGCCTCATGCATGTCAGTTATCTCTCATTCAGCCCACTTGCTCTTCCCACCCCTCCCTACGACACAGCTGAATTCTGAGGCTGCTTTTCAAGTTGCTAGATGAGGTTGTAACTGGACCAGGGCAAAAGCTTCCTGAATTAGCCCAGCTGATGGGATAACTTTGCAATGGGCAGCTTTGGCCTGGCTTTGACTGTATAAGACTTCATTCTCCCTCATATCCCATGGGGTACTTATTTATTTATAGACAAGCCTCTCTCTCTCTGTTTCCAGGACAGCTGAGATGAGGATAAGACAAACCCAAAATTCATTAAATGATGGTCCCGTGGCAAATCCTGGCACACCTTGTCACTGTTTCTAGACTTTTCTGGAACACCAATCTCTAGTTGGGCTAAAGAGTGTGGTTTGGGGAGACTGTAAATTATGAAGGACTGATGGCCACAGATCAAAGCTAGCATCAGAATCCAGGTTCCTAGCACTCAGTGTATGTTAAAAGGGCTGCTCCCCATGTGACTAAAATGTGAAGTGAAATCCCACTCATTCTCCTTCTGCATCTCAGTCCGAGGATGGGAGGGAAGTGGAGGGAAGGAAAGCGAGTGTCTGATGCTTCATTGATCTGCTCCTCTAGACCAGGGACTGGCAAAAGTTTTCTGTAAAGAGCCAGATAGTATTTTAGGTTTAACTGGCCATATGGTCTCTTGGCACCAACTACTCAGCTCTGTCACTGTCATGTGAAAGCAGCCATAGACTGTATAAACAAATGGGCGTGGCTGTGTTCCAACAAAACTTTATTCATCAAGACAGGTGGTGGGCTGGATTTGGCCTGAGTGGCACAGTTTGCTGACCCCTGCCCTAGACCAACAAAGGGAGGGAGGTATTTGAATTTTCAAGTCATGTTCTCTTTTATCCTTTGCCTTGGAAATGGCTTTCCCTGCCAAAGTCACAAAACCATCTAATTTCTAATCCTCTGAAAATAGGAGAGATCAACAAAAGCATAGGATTTGGAGCCTTTCCACGGATGTGTGAGCATAAGCTGGGTCACCTATCCTCAACACAGAAGGGAACTGCATTTGTTTTGTTTGTTTTTGTTTGTTTTTTCCAGGTTTTAATGGAGTTATAATTTATCTGCAGAAAAATGTACCCTTTTTAGTGTACAATTCTATAAATCCTGAAAAACCTATGTAGTCATGTAACTACCACCTCAATCAAGATATAGATATTGCCACACTCCAAAGAGTTCCCCAGTGCCCCTTTTAGAGTCACAGCCTTCTCCCACCCCCATTCTGTGGCTATGCCCATTTGATTTTATCCTAAATTACGGTCACTCTGTCTGAGGTTTGCTTTCAGAAATTGTCCTTTCTGCTAAATGTTGAGTTATTTAATTGTTTAACTCAATTTTCTTTTCTTGATTAAAAAGAACTTTTTTTTTATAGAGATGGTGTCTCATTGTGTTGCCCTAGCCGTTCTCAAGCTCCTGGGCTCAAGCAGTCCTCCTGCTTTGGCCCCTAAAAGTGCTGGGATTATAGGCGTGAGCCACCTTACTTGGCCTCTTGATTTTTAAAGTCAGTTCCTACCCTGCTATCCCCAAATCATTGCTTGAGGAAGAGGAAAGTCACTTGATCATTTGGACATTTGGTACTTCCTAGTATTTGAAAGGAAACCCCCTGGTAGCAAAGTGTTCTCGATCTGAGGGCAGACATTGATTTGAGCAGACATAATGTGGGACATAGTTCTAGCCACAGTCGGTGGTTGTAGGCCACTACCCTTCAGCTGTTCTTATTTCATACTCGTGCTATCCCTTCTGCATGAACGTTTCTGAATGCACGTATTTTAGTGTACCTAGGAACCTCTGAATGTTGGCAAGGAATTAGGGGTGCACACCCCAGCCCTCAAGATTAATTCCGTGCCTGTGCATGTCTTTTGGAACTGCTTTATTAATGGGTTTGGAGCCTGCCATTCTGCAAGACTGGGTCATTATCACCTTAGTCCTCACCCCTGGGAAGAGCTGCCACTGAAGGATGGATGCTGTGTGTCAGCACCCCTGCCTCTGCTTGCTGGAGCCTGCCGGCATCGGTTACTCACTGCAACCATCTCCTCAGCTGCACAGTCTGGCTAGATTGTCATTTTCATTCATTGTGTTTCCCCATCCCTCCTTAGAATCTAGGGAAAGGCAGCAGAAGGGAAAAAGAGAATACAGGAGATAGGTTTTTATCGCCTTTAACACTTTCTGTGAGCTGAGTCCCGTTTTTGAGAATCTTTCTGTGTTAGATCTGAGTGTGACTTGGCAAGAACACGGCCACACGGCAGGAATGTGCAGGTTTCTGTAATGAATGGTCAGGATGTCATCTAAGCTACAGAAGGGCCACGTGTTGGTTGGCAGAGCTGGAGTCTGGGAGATTGATGAGCATTCTTTAAACTTTCCTCTCTGTTCATCTAATTGAAATTTACACTATGTTTTTGGCCTTGCACGGTGAGAGGTGTGCCTGGAATTACCTCATCTCCTTATGTTGTCGCATACCACTTTCTTAGTTATTATTGAGTTTGTTTTGTTGTTTGTATTTAAGTTGTCATCAGCTTAATTATGAACTAGCCGTCTCATGTTCTTTTGTAAAATGAGATGGGGCATACATAAATAGACTTGGTAGATAAATGATTATTCCCTTATAAATGGGCTCTTAAGAGCGGGAGAGTACCTTGGTGTCTCTGTTGTCATCAGTTAGGAACTGTAACTGTGAACTGAAACCCTCAGTAATTCTGTGTTTGTCTCCATTTTCTTTCAGAACAGCACATTAGTTCCAGAAGAAGGATGGAAATTCTGAAAACTGAATGTCAAGAAAAGGAGTCAAGAACAATTCACAGTATGAAAAGAATGCAAAAAAAAAAAACTTTATTTAAAAAAGAAAAAAGTCCAGATTGTAGTTATACTTTTGCTTGTTGTTTTTCAGTTTCCCGAACACAGAGCAGATACCTGGTGAGCTCAGATAGTCTCTTTCTCTGGCACTGTGCAAGATGCTGTGAATATTCCTAAGTTACACCCATATGTTGCATTTGAAAAGTTGAAATGTGTAATTGTTTTGGAATAAAGAGGATAATAATAGGAACAAAGTCCTGATTGAGAGCTTATTCTCGTACTTTTGGGTGGTGGGGTCCTTGGGTATATGACATGAGGACTTAGTTGGAAATGCTGTTGATGCCAGCATATTTCTCCAGGCCTTTATACATTGGTCCTTCTTGCCCCTTGCTCCTAACAGAACAGACAACTGCCTGGAAAGGCCAGCTTCCTTTCTTCTTCTCCAGCAGTGAGCACCAGCTGTCTGCATAGGAGTCCTGTTGGTATCTGAAGGCGCCATTTGGACTTCTAGGAGTCCAAGGGGATGGGTTTTTATCCCCTTTAACATTTTCTGTGAGCTGAGTCCCATTTTTGAGAATCTTTCTGTGTTAGGTTAGATACTGAGTGTGACTTGGCAAGAACACAGCTACACAACAGGAATGTGCAGGTGGACCGCAGCTAGGATCTCTGCGCAGTTAGGATCTCTGCGCAGCTAGGACCTCTGCTCAAGGCTCTTGTCTTGGGGCCGGGCGCAGTGGCTCACGCCTGTAATCCCAGCACTTTAGGAGGCCGAGGCAGGCGGATCACTTGAGGTCAGGAGTTTTGAGACCAGCCTGGCCAACATGGTGAAACCCTGTCTCTACTAAAAATACCAAAATTAGCTGAGCATTGTGGTGCACGCCTGTAATCCCAACTACTTGGGAGGCTGAGGCAGGAGAATAGCTTGAACCTGGGAGGCGGAGGTTGCAGTCGGCTGAGATCGTGCCATTGCACTCCAGCCTGACTCCATCTCAAAAAAAAAAAAAAAAAGAAAAAGACTGTCGCATGGGGATTTGTTGCAACATCAATTTTCAAGGGACACAAATTCAAACCATGGCACTGACCACTTGAGTGACTTTAGGCTAGAAGGCCACACTCATCTCAAGAATGCCCCGTTTGAAGTTGTGCCCTAGGGCCACCATTACATGAGGTTATACAATAGCACAGAGAGAATTAATACTGCCTGGCATGGTTAACTGCATAGACTTCGGAGCCAGACAAACCTTGTGTTGCCACTTACTAGGGTGAGGGACCTTGGGCAAGTAGATTAACCTCCATAAATCTTTTGTGTTTCTGTAAAAGAGCGATAACTACGTACCTCATAGGATTGAAGGAGTTGAAATCTGACGCGGCTTACCACTTGGCATCTTTCCTGATTGACCTACAGTTATGTGCCTTGGCCCATTGCCTCTAGTTCTAGAATGGCAAAAACCGCAATTACTTTTGCACCAACCTAATATTAATTGAAACGTGATATGTTAACTTTTGAAATATGGTAATCCTCGTAATATTTATTGAATTGGGGGGCTGGAAGTTGTTTTATTTGAATCAGATTGCTTCCCAACCTAGCTGGACCTTACTACAGTGAAGAAATTGGGATTTTGATTGGGAAAAAGGGAAAGAAGATTCTCGAACTCTATGCTGGTTCTGAATGGGATCCTACAGGTGAGAGGATGATGTGGGCAGTTATAGGGATGCCTCTAAGATGGGAAGGAGGCTTCTCCTTCCCAGAGGTTGCAAACTTGTGACCTGTAGTGTTTTTAATTGAGTAAGTTACCAACGTTTGAAGACAGATTTTGTATACAAATCTTGGTTTTGGATTCTGGATTCTCCTGAAAGAGAAAATTAGCTGTCCCTGGCGGGCCTGATTCCTGAACAGTGGCAGTCAGTTGACACTGAATAGCAGCTCCTCCCTTTGGATGGAGCCTACAAGCTCCAGCTTGTCAGCCCTGCCCCCCACAGGTGTCCATGTACAGGACACCTGTGCCAGTCCACCTGGCAACTGTGCTTCTCTGATATCTGCCTGGCTCCCATAGGCATATGCCTTTGGGACCCTCTGCTTTTAGTTTCTTATCCCACTCTGAGGGGAAGGGGTGATGGTGGCTTCCTGTTGCTCTTGGGTGGCTCCTAGTGTTCCTACTTAGGTGTGCTGGGACCTTAGCCGCTCAGACTGGTGAGGAAAGAGAGCACCAGCAGCGTGTGGGATGAGAGCAGGGGCACTTCCCACCTATCACCAGACCTGTGCAGGCCTGGGAGATAGACTGGATGCCAGGCTGGTGGACAGTGGTGTGGAGGAGGGGTGGGTGGACAGTGGTGTGGAGCGGGGCTGGGTGGACAGTGGTGTGGAGCAGGGCTGGGTGGACAGTGGTGTGGAGCAGGGCTGGGTGGACAGTGGGGTGGAGCAGGGCTGGGTGGACAGTGG